GAATTCCTTCCGGTCAATGGGGTTGTTATACCTCATCGATCTGAAGGAAATCCTTCTGGTCGACAAGGTGTAACAACCTCATTGACCGGAAGGGGATTCCTTCCGGTCGATGAGGTATAACAACCTCATCGACCGGAAAGGATTCCTTCCGGTCGGTGAGGCGACAACCTAATGTCATTGAGACTGTACATCGAGACTGTACAGTCTCAATGACCGGAGGAATCCCTCCGGCCATTGAGACAGTGTACAGTCTCAAAGGCTGGAGGGTTCCCTCCGGCCTCAACAAGGCCCATGTAGGACACCAACTGGTGTCCTACATGGGCCGCTGACACCCTGGTAGAGCCCAAAACTCCCAAACTGCATTCCCAGGGCGGGTGTCAGGGCGGGTGTCAAGGTGGGTACCCGGGTACCCGCCGTTTTTTGTCCCAAAACTTGACACCCGCACCTGCACCCAGCACCCGCGGGCGGGTACCTGCAAACGGGTACCCGTTGCCATCTCTACCCAAGAAGTTCAAGACCCCCCCCCAGCCCCCCAAGAGGCCCTAATCCCGCGTGATGGAGTCCAAGCCGCCAAAGGACCTCTATCTCAAGCCCCAGCCTCTAACTTTATAAATGTCTTAAAGTGTAGGGAAAAAAATTAAAGGCCCCGTTTGGCAGCGTCATAAACTTAAGTGTAATATTGCCTTATTAATTCAATAAAAAATAAACCACTCAATAATATATAACAAAATTTTTACTGAGGCAAGGTCAACTACTGATTTCAAGGTTAGTATGAAAAAAGTTGAAGTAATGGACTACCTTCAGCACCATAATACCAATATTACACTTTTTACCCATATAAAGTGTAATATTGATATTATGGAGCTCAAGATGGCCCAAGATATCAATTTTTTTTTCACAACATTAATGAAACCAGTAGTTGAACTTTCCCAAGTAACAATTTTATTAAATGTTCTCCATTGGTTTATTTTTTATTGAATTAATCAAGCAATATTACACCCAAATTTATGATGCTGCCAAACGGGGCCAAAATGTCAAAAAATATTGAGAAATAACATGTAAAGAATTAATTGAAAAAAGTGTATAATTTCAGTATTAAAAATGAACCATTAAGTTTTAAGAAAATTGGATGTTACCATTAAATTCTAAACACATTAAAACCAACGGTGGGCTGCTACACTAACCGTAGCGGTTAGTGTAGCGTAACACAGCGGAATCGCTGTTAGCGATTAGCGTAGCGCAGCGGAATTCCGCCACAACACCGCTAACGCTACGCGTGTGGGCATCAAAAAAGGCCCACTACGCTGCGCTCCAGCGGTTTTTAGCTGTTTTTGGCCGCTTTTTCCGCTAAAAGCGCTGTAGCGTAGCGAAAAACCGCTAACACTACGGTTTTTGGATGAAAAAAAGTGCCACTACGCTACGCTTTTTGGGCCAAAAGAGTAGCGTCCCACCGCTGTTAAAACCTAGTAAATAAATTTAAAATTACAAAAGAACTTGAAAAATAAGGTAAAAAAAGTAATGCAAACAATTAATGGAAAAAATGAGTGAAAACATTTATGATTGAAAGTCATTCTTATGGTAAATGGACTTTACCATTAAATTTTAAATCTTTTCAAGTGTAGGAAAAAATTTTAAACATTCAAAAAAACTCAAAAAATAAGTGGTAAAAAATTAATTAAAAAACTGTGTCAAAACGCAGAATGTGCTGCACACAGCAGAAACTGTGTCAAAACTGTGTTTTTTTATTAATGCCCTGAAATAAAATAAAAGAGGAAAGAATACGAGTATAAGTGTGGGGACTTGTGGGGTTCTCTTTCTGGGGCGGACCAGGCACTTGGGCAACTTCTTTTGTTTTAATTACCTGGACACGTGAGCTCAAGTACAACAGGCTGTATTTATTTCAAAATTAATAGTCTATATACAAGAGAATAGCAGAAGGAGGGGAAAAAACACCAGGAAGAGCCGGATCTGGTGGTGGGAGCGTCACCATTGCCTTTGGGGTAGTTGGCATGGTTTGGATTGAACATAGCCATTACTGGGAGGCGGTGTCGGTGAAGGTAGAGGAGGTTGGCGAGGAAGGCAGCTGAGTGCTGGGGGAAGTATCAAGGCTCTGGGGATCACTTCGAACCGGATCTGGATACTTTCAAGGACAATTTTGACCGTCGGAAGGGATGGAGTCAAACATGCTGTTGGCTTTGTTGGGGAACAACTCTTGGAGAGCAGGGTTGGAGGGGTTGGAGGGGTATCTAGGGTTAGGAACTGTACAGAAGGCGTAAGCTAGGAGTGGAAGTTATAATAAGCAGAAGTGCACTTACGGCAAAAAGGGCGGGAAACTGGAAGTGGGTCAAAGAGAGAGGTCGCGGCCAGGAGAAGGTTTTATGGCTGGACAAGGAGTGACAGCTTGGGAGCGGACATGCTCTGGAACCTCTGAAGGTCCTTGCTTGGCGGGTTGTGGAGTGCGCAAGACATTGAGGCACGGGGGAGGAGACAAGACCGGTGTGGTGTGCTCAGGGGTGGCGCTGACTGAAGGTGGCGAAGTCAGGCAGCAAATGTTCAGCATAGGGTCGACATGCATCAGGCTGTTGGCCCAAGTGTGCTCAACGGCTGGCAAATTGAAGGCCGTAGATTTGGCCATTGGAGACGGCAGGCCCAAGGATATCACTATTGGTTTGATATCAATGACGGTATCAACTGGTTTTGGAGAGTGGCGGTCAGGGACAGGTGTTGGAGAAGGTGGGAGCTTGGTGGAGAGCCGCCGAGGCACTATCTGGAGATTGGAAGCAGGGGCTGAAGGCAGAGGCAGGGTAGGGGAAGCGCGCCAAGGGGATTGGCAAAGGGGAGAGCATCAACTGGGGGAGGCAGCCGGACAACGTAACTGCTCATCAAAGAGAGGGTGGGTCACGTTATGTCAGGTAGCCCAGTGGTATTTAGCTTCCAAGAATTCTTGGTGAGACTGGAATTTGGTTTGACTAGGTAGCGGCGACATCCGGTTGGAGCCAGCTGGAGACTCAGGAGAAGAATGTGGAGGTTGAGGAGGTGGAGACGGTGACCAAGAGGAAGGAGTTGGGGAGGCGACTGAAACACTGGCAGAGTCTGGGACAACAAACTTGTTGAGAGAATTCCCGCGGGTTGTGGTCCAAAGACGTTTTGAGGAACAAGGAGGACAACCGTGCGAATCAGGGTTAGACACGCAAGTATGGCGGAAAGAGCAATCAGACGGTGTGGTGAGATTGATCAAACCCATAGCCATAATTAAAATCCCCTTAATACACATCAATAGTAAATCAAAACATTAGAAGAGAAGGGGTAGATTAGGATATAAACCAGATAGATATTACTAGGCTAAATTGTAGTTGAATTAAATCACGAACCAGGCCCAAGATATTCAATTTCTCATGGATAAAAACTATACAAATAGCCTGTAGAAATATATAAAAGACACTACATCTATCTTAGACTGGTAAATCAAGCTACTGATCAGAAAGTACTTCTCAGACTATCTCTAGAAAATAACTCTTATACTAATTAGTCTACCTTGCAACGATGAAACGATGCGATACGATGCGATAAATTGCCCTGTATTGGTATCGCATTGTTTTAGCGATACACGCTTAAGCAATACCGATGCATCGCATTGCTTAAGCAACGCATCGCATCGGTATCGCATCGCAAAGCTGATGCGATACCGATGCGATGCATCGCTTAAGCAATGCGATGCATGTACACCATGGGGCGGGTTTTTAGAAAAACCCCCCAGCAAACGGATGGATTCCGTCCCGAGCGCCCGCAACTTGGTTGCGAAGCATCCAACGGACGCTCGGGCGGGCCTGGCATCATTTGGACGCTTCAGAAAGCGTCCAAGGGATGCTTGGCAGGCGAGACCATCCAGAGGATGGTGTACAGCCCGGTGTCCATCGGACACTTGATTGGGAGTGTCCGATGGACAACAAGAAAACCATCAATCGGACACTTCTCAGAGTGTCCGATTGATGGTTTTCACCCGGGTCCGGCAGTGGAAAAAAAAGGGTCGATTGTCGAAAAATTATTCAAAAGGTGGTCGATGGTCGAAAAACGATCCAAAAATGCAGCGCGGGGTATGTAGTTGACTCTTTGACCAGTGGGATATCAAGAATCTAGTATAGTCGAGTGGCAAGGTACTGCCTCTGTGGAGTTACTGGTGTCAGCACCTGGAGGTCATGGGTTCAAACCCAGGCCTGGCATTTTTGCCCCCAAGGGCTTCTAATCCTACCATCCGATGGATGGTTTGGCCCTACCATCCGGGTTCAGCAATATGCAAGTCGCATCCAATGGATGCTCCTTGCAGGGCCAAGGTCGGATGGCATCTGGTACATCCGATTGGGTGTCCAAATGCCATCCACCACGCCCGGTGGTGTATTTATCGCCCGTATCGGACGCATTGGGTCAAAAGAGCATGCATATTTTAAAAAAAAAGAAGGATGGGAAAAATAAAAAAAAAGAATACTAATGGAAAATTAAGAAAAAAAATGAGCATCAAAATAAAAAAATAGGAAACAAGTAAATAAGAAAAAGGGGAACAAGTATAAAAAAATTGGAAACTCAATGAAAAATGGCCATCTTAATTAAAAAAGCAATTAAATATAGTTGTATATAGATATAAGTTTCCGACTTTTTTCTTTTTTCGTTCTTCTTCTTTGTTTTCATGGGAGGAGGTGGGAAAAAAAATACATGACCGTTCGAGAGAAAATGAAAAAACAGGTGGAGAGAGAGAGAGCCAACAAACAAACAAAGAAAGAAAGAAGGGGTGTGGAAATTAGCAATAACAGAAGGGGACAAAGATAATCAACCGGAAAAAAAAAGATTGTAGAAGAGAAGACAAGGAAGGATCAAGATAAGATATCAAAAGAGAGAGGAAGAGAGACCGGATCACAATTTCTTTGCTGCAGCCACTACAAGGAAGGTGGTGGGAGCCAAGCCATGAGGAATGGATCATCAGTCGATCGAGAGGTCCGGAGCGGTAGCTACGCTGGATCGATTCTAGAATCGGCATCTCTTTGTCGAGCCTCGGTCGATTGCGCTAGAAACTCCGCTGGGAACAACATGTTCATTAACATCTCTATGCTTTGTTCTTCTGTGATTGTCCTCGATAATAATTGTGTTAAGCTGTATAGTCCATGCATCTTTGTTTTTTTGAATTTTGAAAAGTCAGGAGTTGATCATAGAGAAACATCAGTGATCATTTTTTTCAAATGTTTTCTCTCAGGTTGATGAAAAAAAGTCAAAACAGGTGTCGATTGGATCGCTCAGACACACCCCAAGTGAGTGATTGATGATCAGAAAACAGACGTACCGAAGGGAGATCAAACTTATTACCAGCCTTAGTGCTAGTGAAGCTAACCGACTTGAAGCGTCTCGGGACCAACAAACACTAAAAGAACCAAATCAAAGAGAATCAATATCTCTCAAGATGATGTAATCCATCTCTCTCATTCTCTCTTTCAAGAGACTCTCAAAGTAGGGGGAGATGAATGAAAGGAGAAAAACAAGGGGTACCAGTTCTTGTGAGATCATCCCGCCCATGGAGACCCCAAAGAGATGGACAGATTGCTCCTCTGTCCATCCCAAATACTCCATCAGATCTACCGTGTCTTTAGCCATCTCTGAGGTCTTGTAGATCCCTAATGGCCCCGCACTGGTTGCAATACATTGTAATCAATTTTCTTACAAGCGTCATTTAACTGTTTTTACATCGATTTGGATGTACATCTATATAACTTACTCGCTGTTTCCTACCCCTTGGTTGTCTAATACTAGGACCGAATGATCTGGCTTTCTTGAGAAATGCTTGACTTGATTCGACCATCCTGAACAGGCTAAAAAGATCATCAGTCGATCGAGAGGTCCGGAGCGGTAGCTACGCTGGATCGATTCTAGAATCGGCATCTCTTTGTCGAGCGTCACTAACAATATCGACCAAATTTTGAACCGCCAAGGTGACAACTGAGAGCGATAGACATGATCAGCCTGGAGTCCGATGGGTCCTGATGAAGCCATTGTATTGTTGACATTGGTGGGATGGTTGCGGGCCTTGGTGGGTGATACTGGAGAAGCGCTGGTAATGTTGTCGGTGGATTGGCTGAGTTAGTAGATTGGGGTTTCATTCATATGTTTAATGGTTAATGTGAAAGATGATCCTGAATCAATAATCAGTTGCTGTTCCGCTTAAAATTGTAGATTGAAGTGGGATAAGTTGAAGAGAAGGTAAGGGGGCTCAACTGACGAGTGAGATTGGAGGAAGCCGTCCCGAGAAGAAGCTGCCGGTTTTGATTGATCACGATCAGCCAAATCTTCCTGAAAATGACCAGGAATAATAGAAAACGGACCATCACGAAGCAAGAAAAAAGAATAAAACCAAATTGATCAACAAAACAAAATCGAGCTCATGAATGGATGAATTTTAAAAACGTTTCCAGCTGGTGAGGCGAGCTCATCTATCTTGGCATGGCAATGCGTGCCAATAACATCGGCATCGCCTGCAAAATATCGGGCATCGCATTGGGAAATCGATGCGATGCCAATTCTCCGCATCAGTTTTTCCGATGCGGACGATGCGATGCGGGGCCCCGCATCGCTCACACCGATGCGATGCAATAAACGCTTGATACGATGCGATGCCGATGCACGCATTGCATCCGTTTCATTGTTGGTCTAAGAATACCATTCTCATAGCAATTAATCTAAGAATAGGCCTCATATAGTAGAAACACAACCTCTTGTATTAGAAGGGGACTTAGAGATTAGTTCATATCAGATTAGGCCATCTCAGAGTAGTAAAATCCACTCTAGAAGCACCCTTCTCAGACGAACTTGTGTTCAGGCCAAAATCCCATGTACTGCAGAATAGAGATGGGCGGGGATAATCCGTTGCGGATATCCGCTATCCGCTGGCGGATACCCGCCAGTGCCAGGGGATATCCGCTGGCAGGTGCGGATGCCCCCTTTTCCGTGAAATCCCGGCGGATATCCGGGTATCCCCAAGGATACCCGAGGCCAGAAAGAGGAGATGGCCGGCTGGAAGGGTTTCCTTCCAGCCGGCTGCCTCGCCACCAATTTAAAGGGCGGGTATCCGCGGGTATCCGCGCGGATAAAACCAGGGGATATCCGCCAGCGGTTTTGGTTGCGGATGAGGATATCAAATTCCGCTGAAATTGTGAGCGGATATCCGGATTCACCGTGACCATCTCTACTGCAGAACAATATGTCTATAAATAGAGGCTCTTCTGGCCCATGTTTTCCTTTTCCCTCCTCATGCTAGCTACAGAATAGTAATCAGAGATATTACCCAGCTTTCATCACCCTTTGATTAAGAAATCCAGAGATTGTTAGAGCCCTTGAACTTCCCTTGTCCCATTTTTTTGGCCATAGAAAAGTAATTCAGAAGTATTGCTTAGCCATTCTCACCTCTTTGAAAGATATTAGAGAAATAAGTGTACCATTTATCAAAGCCCAGAGAAACCAGAGAGTCTTATTAGATCAGAGAACCAGAGAGAATTTATAACAGATTTAACAGAGAAACCCTTCAGAAACCCTTATTACTCAGAAAAACCCACAAACTCCTTACCTCTTCAACAGGTATCCTTAAGCAACAATAAAAGTAGTATCAACACTAAGATAAATATTGAAATAAGCCACACTCTTATTTTTCTTAGTGTAGCTTTA